TGCCCTTGATAAAACACAGTGGACCAACACCAGCAGCTGACATGGCTCCCCAGACCATCACTGACTGTGGGTACTGGACCCTGGACTTCTGGCATTTTGGCATTTCCTTCTCCCCAGTCTTCCTCCAGACTCTGGTACCTTGATTTCCTTTGGACCACTGAGTAACAGTCCAGTGCTGCTTCTCTGTAGCCCAGGTCAGGCGCTTCTGCTGCTGTTTCTGGTTCAAAAGTGGCTTGACCTTTGACCTGGGGAATGCAGCACCTGTAGCCATTTTCCTACACACGCCTGTGCACAGTGGCTCTGGATGTTTCTACTCCAGACTCAGTCCACTGCTTCCCCCAAGGTCTGGAATCGGCCCTTCTCCACAATCTTCCTCAGGGTCCGGTCACCTCTTCTCGTTGTGTAGCGTTTTCTGCCACACTTTTTCCTTCCCACTGACTTTCCACTGGGGTGCCTTGATACTCTGGGAACAGCCTATTGGTTCAGAAATGTCTTTCTGTGTCTCACCCTCTTGCTTGAGGATGTCAGTGATGGCCTTCTGGACAGCAGTCAGGTCAGCAGTCTGACCCATGATTGCGGTTTTGAGAAATGAACCAGGCTGGGAGTTTTTAAAGGCCTCAGGAATCTTTTGCAGGTGTTTAGAGTTACTTAATTGATTCAGATGATGAGGTTAATTGCTCGTTCAGAGAACCTTTTCATGATATGCTAATTTTTTGAGATAGGAATTTTGGCTTTTCATGAGCTGTATGCCAAAATCATCAGTATTAAAACAATAAAAGACCAGAAATATTTCAGTTGGTGTGCAATGAATCTAAAATATGACAGTTTAAAAATAATGAACTTTATCACAATATGCTAATTTTTTGAGAAGGACCTGTATTATAGATCAAAGTAAGACATGTCTTATTTAATAATTAATTAAAACAAACAAAACAAGACGTTTTTGAATAATAAAATGTCTGAGCTGATTAAAAACATTTCAGCTGTCCCAGTCTCTCTCTGAGAATAAGGAAAGTTGTCCAAGCCTAATTTTTAACGTCTAATACTCAGCTGCAATTTTGAGGAAAAAAGTTTAGTGGAAGGAAAAAAAACAAGGCTTTCAAAGCTGAAAACACCCTGAATACAATTTTCCCAGCACCAGAAAAGCACCTTATTGGAAAAACCAGATGGCTTGCTGTTGCTCTCTATGACCCGGTCAGACTGGGTCTCTTAACCTCTGCTTCTCATCGTCACATTTCTCTGATTCTTTAAATTATTCTTAGTATTTGGTAGAATTTCTTTTTAAAGCTATAATTTGTTTTGGCTTTAGCATTTAAACTTAACTGAAGTATAAAGTGTGTCCTTACAGAAAGTTTTCATAATAATTTGGAATTTTGTCCCATTCCATCTGACAGAACAAACTGAGGTATGTTGGTCCTTTTTGTGAAATTATACATAAATTATGCTTCAAACCAAACATTTATGAGTTACTGTTGATTAGAAACTAATATAGAAGCAAACTGAATGTAGAAAGACAATAAAGTCAAATGGTTATTTGTGCAAAGTTTACTGTCCTATTAACCCTTCCTGTAAGTTTTCTTTTCTTTATCATCCACATCAAATGTATCGCAATAATGTTTTGTTTTTAAACTGTTAATTTCAAATGGTATGTGATTTTGGTTATTTCTGTTAGATATTTGTTTAACGTCTTTTTATTCCTGCTGTGTATGTATTCTTTAGGGTCGGCTTAACCTCTCCTGTACAGATGCTTATGTTCTGCCTTGTTTATTGTTTAAGAACTATAAATTTAAATAAATAAGAACTGCTTTGACTCGATTTTACTTTTATTTTGAAAGTGTCGCTCTTGTAATCAATTTTTACATGCCTTTTCCACTAACTCTTATTTTTGGATGTTATACGACAACTCACAAAGAAAGAAAAGACTTTTAAAACAACCAAAACTTTACTACGATTTTTTTATAGATGTTCTGAATGTTTTTGTAACGACGATCTGCTGAACCGTTTCCGCTTGAAAGGTGGGTTATGTCCGGTCTGATTATAAGCTCATAAATTGAGGATTGTTTTGAGTATTTCAGATAAGATACAACCTTTAAGGTAAGTTTGTGGCTAATGTGATTGCAGCTGGAGCTGGCCTGTCACACATTGGGTCAAAAATCAACACAGACACGGCTAGCATTAGCTTAGCTCGGTGCTAATTTATCGAAATGTTTTGGAACTTGCACCGAAAATGACAAATGGTTGTCACTTGATTTATTGCTCTGTCTTTTAAAGTTGTTAAGAATAAAAGTCCAAACTACTAAGGTCAGTTTTTACGCTTATGTTATTACGTTTACCAGCAGCTAGAGCGGGCTTTACACTCTGAATATTTAAGCTTTTAAAGTGGGTCAGTTGTTAGTTTAGCTGCTGTTAGCTAGCCCCTAACAACGTCTGGCTAATCAGTGGGAAAAGCCGTAAAATAAATGCATCTTTTGTTGAAGCATCATGTTCTCACACAGAAAATATATGAACATTACAAACTTTAACGCGAGTGTGTTAATGTAGTCTGGGGCACACACACAGATGGATATTTCACCATTCCACCTCCTTGCAAAATATCTCAATGAGGTTGTTTTTTTTCTATAAAGTTTAATAATTTTGGAGTTGATTTGGCTTTATGTTTTAATTCTGACCCAATCATGACTCGCTTTCTATTTTCTGGGAGAATGTACCATATTTTCTAATGATGTAGGATTTCTAATACTCTGTAACAAGGTTCTCTGGACCTTAGGAACAAAATAAAAGGCCCACAAAATCACATCCTGATTGTTTTGTTTATAGAAATTTTTGGGTAGCATACCCAAAAATTGTACACTGGTATGATATGTTTTTACTGTTGTTAAAGTAAGAAGTAGCTGACTAAGAAATTACTCAAGAGTAAAAAAGTATGAGTGCCTGATTAGAATGTCTAATTTAATATTTAAAAATTCAGTCATCAGACAGACAAAAATATAGTTATGTGCACGTTCTGGTATTTCACCATAAATCTCATTAAACCAGTATTTACTGTATATTTGCTATAACAGGGTGAAGTGCTTCCACTGACGAAATATAATATTTACTATTTTTTTTTTATCCTGACGTTATTCAGCAGACAGAAAATAACAACAAAGCTGGTGTAAAAACAAGATGTCTCCTGAATTTTTTCATTCAGTAAAGTTATTCTGTAGGTAGAAATCCAAAACTTCTGCTCAAGTAAAATTAACTATACTTCATTATATTAAAAGATACAGTGCAGAAAAAGTATATTTTTCCCAAAAAACAACTCAAGTAATTGTAAATGGTTATAGGGAGACGCTGACATGGCAGAGAGGGAGGCAGGCATGGAGGAGGACGCAGGAAATCTGCCGGCCAGACATGGCAATGACAGAGAGGAAGACCGCAGGAGGCTTTTCGGGATGGTGGATGAGGACGAACAGCCGGGGGATGAAGACGAACTGCTAGGGGACGAAGACGACGAAGAAGCGGAGGCGCCAGAGTCTGTTGAGCTGGACGCTCCGGCAGAGCGCAGCGGCCACATTGCTGTCATTGATAGAAATATCATGTATGTGTGGGGCGGATACAAGGTAGGAGCTGAACCACGTAATCACACTTTAAGTCATTATTTTTAGTTTCTAAATCATGTTCTCTTTTGCTTTTTTAAACAAGAATGGCCAAAATCATGGATTCGTTGATTTGTACCTGCCCAAAAATGAGGTGTGGACTTACAACATGGAGTCAGGAGTTTGGTGAGGAAATAAAGGGTGGACTTCCTGTCGTCATTTCTATGGATGCTGCAGTTAAAACATCTTAAAAACGGTTGCATGTCTGCAGGATGAAGCATGTCACCGAAGGGAACCTGCACTCCATGTCCGGCAGCTGCGGGACGTGTCTGGATGGGGTCCTCTACCTGTTCGGGGGGCATCATGCCAGAGGAAACACAAACAGGGTATGCTGAGAGAACAATTAATCAGCTCATCCCATGATAAGTTAAAACCAGCTCAATAATTTCCATTTCCATGATTGCTTTTCTCGTTTCTTTCATCCAAAAACTGAACGATGAAAGTCTTCAGTCTGGCGCTTTGGTCTGATCTTACCTTGTGCTTTTTGGAGAATCCTTTCACTTGCAGAAATTTCAGTCTCCATTTTATTTGTTGTTTTGTTTATATTTAAAATGTCTTTCAGTGCCATTGTTAAATGTTTGTTAAAAATGAAAGTCTATTCATCTTTAAGAGGGTGCACCTGCATTCTTATGCCAGTACTATTATATTTCTTAAAATGGTCTGAAAAGAATATCATCATTTATCGCAGTAACTTCTGGGCCAAACTGTTGTCATGAAAGGCCTTGTTGAGTGTTTAAATGCAGCACTGGTCCTGTTTTCCTTCCAGATCTACCGTCTGCCTCTGAGGGCGCCCAGCCTGGTGTGGGAGGAAATGAGGGACCTGAAAGGACTTCCTCCGTCCTCCAAGGACAAGCTGGGATGCTGGGTCCACAAGAACAGGTGATGTCTTCCTTCCCTGGCCGTGTTATCGGGTTTGTTTCTCCAGGAAGGTTTGATGATGAGATTCCTTTATCTTTTATATTTGCAGACTGATTTTCTTCGGCGGGTACGGCTACACTCCGCAGGGATCTCACCTAGGGGCTTTCGAGACCGATGAAACGTCTTCTGTTATGGTCTGTAAACAAATGACGGCATCAAACGTAGAAGTCAGGATCCTCCTTTTGCAGAGGCTCTTTGAATGTTGACGTATTTATTTTTCTTTCCTGCATCAGTGGGAGGGTCCTAAACGAGGCTGGAACAACCACATCCATGTCCTGGACCTGGAGACGTCAGCATGGAGTCAGCCCATCACTCAGGTGAAGACGCGCAGCAGCGCCACCTTATGGGCATTAATGGAAACAGGGGATGAACTGTGCGTCTGCAGCGACACCTGCAGAGATAGAAGAAACGAATAATGAAATGAATACAAAAGAAAATTAATAAATAAAAATGAAGAAAGATAAAGAGAAAAAACTGAAAAAAAATAAAGTGTAAGTAAAAAAACTCTGACATTTATTTATATAGACCAGAGCATCGAAGTCGACCCGGGTTTCACACAGATCCATTAAAAAGCCACTGCAGTGATCGAGTGGTTCTGGGTGGTTCTGAGTGTTTGGTTCTGAGTGGTTCTGGGTGGTTTTGTGTGTGTGGTTCTGGGTGATTCTGGGTGGTTTTGTGTGTGTGGTTCTGAGTGGTTCTGGGTGGTTCTGAGTGTTTGGTTCTGAGTGGTTCTGGGTGGTTCTGAGTGGTTTTGTGTGTGTGGTTCTGAGTGGTTCTGGGTGGTTCTGAGTGGTTCTGAGTGGTTCTGGGTGGTTTTGTGTGTTTGGTATCTGAGTGGTTCTGGGTGGTTTTGTGTGTGTGGTTCTGAGTGGTTCTGGGTGGTTTTGTGTGTGTGGTTCTGTGTGGTTCTGGGTGGGTGGTTCTGGGTGGTTTTGTGTGTGTGGTTCTGGGTG